AATTCTATATATTGCAACTGTGATGATCTATACTTTTTTCTTGTAAGTTGTTACAAGAGCAGTTGAATGTTCTTGCCTGAAACTTGAATCTGTGAATCATTGTACATAGTATATACACTCTGCTGGTTGTATGATTCATGTTTTTCTTGTCTCTTAAGTGGTGACATTTGAATTATTACCTGATTATGTATACTTACGGTATGCTTTACCTGATCTGCATTCATTAGCCATACATTCAAAAAAAAAAATTATTATGCGTTCTTCTAAATTTGAATTGGAAGTTTTTAATGGCAAATGAGACTTTAATCTCTGGCATCAAAAAATGAAAGCTCTTTTACTTCAACAAAAGTGTGCAAAAGCCATTGATGAATCATGGCCTACTGATATGGACACTAGTAAAGTTACAGAACAAGATGAAATTGCATGGATTTCTATTTTTCTGCACTTGTCTGATAATGTGCTTAGAGAAGTAGGAGAAACAAAAACTGCTGCTGAACTGTGGAAGAAATTGGAGGCTAGTTATTTGAATAAAACTATGCCGAATAAAGTCTACCTCCTAAAACAGTTTTTTGGTTTTAAACTTGATCCATCTCTTGACCTTGATTCTAATATTGATAGATTCAACCGATTAACCCACGACCTAGCCAACTGTGATGAGAAACTCTCAAGTGGACAGCTAGCTGTGGTTCTATTAAATTCAATAGGTGATAAGTATAAAGATGTTAAAAGTGCTATTGAACATGGGAGGGACACTCTAACGGTTGATGTAATCATTAGTGCTTTAAGGTCTAAAGAGCTAGAGTTAAAATGTGATAGGAACGAATCTGTTAATGACATTAATTTGATGATGGAGTCCCAGTTTAATTCCAAAAATGGTAATTTTAACAGGAGACCTGGACATAAGAATAAGGGCAACTTTAAGGACAAAAATAAAATGATGACAAAAGGGAAAAATTGTTTCTATTGTTTAGAAGAAGGTCATTTTATTAGAGACTGCCCTAAAAGGCTTTATGACTCTGAAAATAAGTCTAAAAATGATGGTGGGGCTGCTTTAGCTTATGGTGATTCTAATATTGATGAAGTTTATGTGGCTGTTAGCTGTCCACCTTGTCAAGAGTGGATTCTTGACTCTGGTTGCACCTATAATATGTGTCCTAATAAGGAATGAAACCTTTGGGCTTCGGCTGGTTTTCTGTTT